GAACCAGAGGGCTCCCATCCCTCCGTGGGCGCCCCAGCGGTGGCAGGCAGGGAGAGGGGCACCCCAGAAGCCCCAGGCGGCCGGCTCTAAACCGCCCGCCCGGAAGGCCTGTCGGGGCAGGAGAGGGAGGGCAAGACGCGGGGGCGCGCCTCACGGAAGCGAGGCCATAGGCAATAGGCCTTCTCCATCGGGCCCCCAAAGCCCTCCATCCCCGGTGGGGAACGGCCCACTCCCAAGCGATGGGCCCGGGCAAGGCCCCGGGGAAGCCCACCACAGGTCTAAAGCACGTCCAGACCTGCCCAGACAAGCCCCTGAGGGAAAGAGCCTGGTCCACGTCAACAAACACGGCCCTAGGGAACCTCCCCACGGGCCTCTCCCCCACCTCTGCCTTCACCCGTCCAGGGTCAGGAAACGAGCCCGGTTTCTTCACCACATGCTCGCTGCTCCCTGTGGCTTCCTCAGGTCTCCTCCTGCTCCATCCTGCTTCATTTCCTTCTCCTTTCTCTCTGCTCAGCTCCACCACCGTCCGGGTGGGGCAGGGAACCTGGAACTTCCCTTTTTCCTAGTGACCACCCGGTTCCACTTCCTCCCTCCTCACCTCCATCTCTGGGCGAGATTCTCCTCCCTGCAGCCTCCTTGCTGTGGGATGAGGAGCCCGGAACCTTCCCCCTTTTCCTGGGGACCAGCCTGTGACACCAGCCTTGTATTCTGGAACCCACACCGCAGTCCGTCCTAGTCCAGACAGGGTCGAATGTGTTTATTTATTTTTTAAAGATTTATTTATTTATCCATACAGAGCTGGGGTATAGGCCAGAGGTGCAGGGGCAGTGAGAGGCTTCACCAGGGACAGAGTGGGGCGCTGCTGACCGTGTTGGCGGTTTAGTACACAGCTCAGGGGTGCAGCAGGCGAGACAGGGGAGGTCTGGGGCCGCATGTGGGTCACCTCCGGGGCTGGGGTGGGGGCGGGGGTCTAACTTGCACTGAAGCGGCCATGGCTGACTGGCTTTTTAGTGCTGGGCTTTAAGCCGTTGCACCCGCCACCACGGAAGGCCGGGGTTCTAAGTCTTGTTGCATGATATGAATACTGTATCTTCTTGTCGGATTCCTCATATTAAATTGGATACTATAAAAAATTGGGACTCGTTATCATGATTAGAATGCACGATGATGGGTTCGCAGAAGCCTCAAAATGACTTATTTCCAAAATCTCTCTATAAAAATATTAGGAAGGCTGGCAAAACCAAAAAAAGACCATTCCTATAGGTGGGTGATGGGGGTGGAGAAAACTGGAAAACAAAAGGAAAAGAATGTCCAACTGCACACAAAGTCGGAGCGCCCCACTGTGAAGAGAACCCTATTCCACATGGCAAAGTAATTGTACTCAGAGTTTTCGCCTCATGAAGTGGGGAATAGAGGAGGCCACTGACACCACGCTGTGACGAGGCAGGCTACCAGGGTGACAGTGACCCCACAGACATCAGGCCTGCAGCCTTTCCGGGACTGGGAGATTGGACGGGCTCCGGGAAGGAGGCGGAGGCGGGGCCTGAGGGGCTGTGGGCGGGGCCTGAGGGGCTGTGGGCGGGGCCATGCGCCGCAGCCGCGGACTCACAGGTCCGGGCAATCTCAGAGTCAGGCTGGCTGATGGACGGGCGGCGGGCTGAGACTGTTAGACCCAGAGGCGCCGGCAGCAGCGCACCACCAGCGGAGGGCACCCCCGCCCGAGGCAGCCCCTCTGCCCCGCCCAGGGGGCGCGGGGGGCCGAGACAGCTTGACAGTGCTGTCTTGAACCCCTGCGCCACCAGGGAACCCCTGATAGCTGTTGTCTTCAGTAGGTGACCTTTGCCTGGTCTCACTCTCATCGAAGACTCAAGGTTTCTGGAAATATTCTGAGTAAATTCCTGCTGTGTAAAATTGGCTCAAATGGACAGTCGTCACACAATAAATTTCTCAGTTCACTCATTTATTCATATTTTGCTAACTTAACACTGAGCCTTCAGTCCACCATCAAGAGTTGATATCTCGTTGGTGGGACACAGTATACAACCATGGAACAATCGGGAGGTGGTGTTCAAAGACCAAATGAGCAATACCCTAAAACTATATTAGAAGAAAGCCAAGAAAGGAAGTCATCAGAAAAGCTACACGGACACGAGATCTCTGAGCCAGGATCTGAAATACGGATAGCACTGGATACACAGAAAAAATAATTTCTGACAGTTTAGCAAGAGCTAAACTGAAAGAATACAAAAAGGAGCAAGAGTCTTGGGGTGCAAATACGCTGATTTTTTCATCATACTGTGAAATTACCTGATTACCCCACAGCTTTGAATTCAACTGCTTTTGCCCTGAAACCTGCACATTCTCTCCTTTGGATGGGATTGGCAGAGTGGAGCAGAGAATATATTCCAAGTATCTGCAACAGCTACATTTCCATCTGCTGGGATGGAAACACCTCACAGAGAAACAGGTTTTTCCAGACTAAGGTCCAGTTTCTGCAACAACCGGAACATTTAACTGGCGTTCGACCAGCTGAGCTGCTTTCCTGGCTACCAGGCTTTGGTGTAGCGATGGCCTTCGACCCTGACAGGAATGGCGATACGTTAAGTTCCCGCAGAGCCCTGGTACCTCTGGCCGCCCAGGCTCGGCCGCGTTTGCCGACACCTTCACTTTACCCGTGGGGACGGCCGGTCATCAGCTGCGCTGAGCCCTCCCGCCAGCGTCCTTCTTTTCCAAACCGCACAGGCACCTGCTCACGCGGACACAAAAATGTCTCTTCATTGCTAAACTAAGCCACTCTCCACAGAAAGCAATGCTTACAGCCGGGGGCCTGCTGAGTGACAGTGGCTGTCCTTGGAGGCGGGCTCCCCGGAAGAGTGTGGACGGCAGGGGTCTCCGGCTAGTGCCCCTCGGCAGCGCGCGGACCGCCGGCCGTGCGCCGGGTAACAGAGGGCTTACATCACGCGAGGTCACCGAGGGGCTGCCGGGCTCCGCGGCCACGCGCCCCCACGCGTCCTGCCTGACTTCTGGGCGTGAGGCCCCCAGCCCTGGGTCCCGGTGGCCACGCACGTGGCTTCGGCGCGCCTGGCGAAGTTCCGGGTGCCGAGGCGGC